GTTAGAAGACAGAATATACTTATTAGGAAGATATCTTGAGGCTGACACCAGCCTAGTTGAAAATTACAGACCAATCTCTTTATGCTGCGTTACCTGCGAAGTCATGGAATCAATTATTAACCAATCCATTATCTTCCACTTAGAGACAAACAACCTACTCTTTAATAAACAATCTGGTTTCAGAAAAAAACTATCCTGTAATCTGCAACTCTTACATTGCAAAAACATATGGACTACACAACTCAATAAGAGCAAAGCAATAGAATGCTACATAGACTTCTGTAAAGCCTTTGATTCAGTGGTACATGACAAACTACTCCTAAAACTAAAATCTTATGGTATCTCTGGACACCTGCATAACTGGATAGAAGCATTCCTGTCAAACAGACAACAAATGGTCAAAATTGGGAGCGTCCTATCAAATTCTGTACCTGTCAACAGTGGTGTCCCCCAAGGCAGTGCTCTAGGACCAACTCTTTTCATACTCTACATAAATGACCTCTGTGATCATATTAAGAGCAACTGCATTCTCTTCGCTGATGATGTAAAGCTATAGACAATACTGCTACCTTTCAAAAAGACCTCAACTATGTATCAGAATGGTCAATCAAATGGCAACTTCAAATCTCAACAAATAAATGCTCTGTCTTACATATTGGCAAAAAAAAAATCAGAAAATAAAATACAAGCTGAATAGTCAAGACCTTGTTGAGGATCCAAACTCTGTCAAGGATCTTGGAGTACACATTTCAAATTATCTAAGTGCTAGAGCCCACTGTAACTACATAGCCAAAAAGGCATTAAGAGTTATTAACCTAATCCTACGTAGCTTTTTCTCTGGTAATATCACACTATTAACTAGAGCATACAAAACATTTGCTAGACCAATACTTGAATACAGCTCATCAGTCTGGAACCCACATTAGGGTATCTGATATTAATACAGTTGAGAAAGTCCAGAAATATTTCACAAGAAGAGTTCTCCACTCCTCTACTTGTTGCAGAATACCTTATGCCACCAGACTCGAAATTCTAGATTTAGAAAACTAGAACTACGCCGCCTTCGGTCCGATCTAAATATAGTATATAAAATTATACATTGCAATGTCCTTCCTGTAAATGAATACTTCAGCTTCAACCATAACAATACAAGAGCACACAATAGATACAAACTCAAGGTTAACCGCACCAAACTTGATTGCAGGAAATACGACTTCAGCAACAGAGTGGTCAATGTTTGGAATACTCTACCTGACTCTGTGGTTTCTTCCCCAAAACCCAAAAACTTTAACCTTAGACTGTCTACTATTGACCTCACCCGTTTCCTAAGAGGCCTTTAGGGGGTATGCATAAGCGCACCAATCGTGCCTACCGTCGCTGTCCCATTGTTTCTTTTTATTTTTCTTATACGTATCCATCTCATGTATTAATAACTATGTTTATACTTATACCTGTTATCATGTAAGCGATTGACAAATCAAATCAAATCAATAAATCAATAATAAATACTTAATTAAATAAATAAATAAAAGAAGGTTAAGTAAAAGAGCTAAGAACAGAATGACAGAGATAGCAGTTGTAGTACTCTATTGGAGAGTAGAAATGGTATCAGTTAATTGTGAAAATGGAGGGACTGATATAGCTTTGCATTGATTAAGTCAGGGGTGTCAAACTCACATCGTCACAGTGGCGTCATGTGACATATCAGAACTTTCCCCCCATTTGCTAAACCCGGTGTGGTGTGGCCAGTGCATGACACATTTGGCTGGATTAAGTAGAGTCATCTTGGGGCTTTCTCTCCGCCTCCCAGAAAAAAAAAATTCTGATTGGTTGTTAGCATTTTGCAGCCACTACAGGCTTGTATAGAAACAAACATGTTTCCTGTAGCTTCCCAGTAACCTTAAGTGAGAGAACAGTCTACTCAAACCCTGTATATGTTTTAACTGTGAAATTAGGGGACTTAAACACCAGTTAGATCCATCATTTAAAAGTATTCCGCACCAGTCCCTACAGTCTGTGGCTCCTGTTTTATACTGTATGTGTTCAGACTAGCCGCTATTTCTAACCTTAAGTGGAATCTGAATTGAAGTTGGTAGCATTTTCTGTGAAATAAAGTACTTTCTTTCATATTGCTATTCCATATTTTTTACTATTTCAAAAGTAGTGACCATTTATCTCTCAACTAGCACAATGATCTAAATCATTCCTCTGGATTAAAAGCTTATACTGATTTTTACAACAACTCTTCCTGTCAATTAAAGCAGGAAGAAAATTACACTTATTTTCCTTCCTTAGTTTCATAAATCTGAACTGTGAATCTAAACCTCGTGCCATGTTTATGAAGAGCACATAAGAATAGCACATGAAGGTTTTAACATTTGTCTCTTCTTTTATAGCTTTGAGCTTATGTAATTGTGGCTTTGCTGTTTTCACATTTAACTCTAAATTGGTAAATTGTCAGCTATTACAGTAGCTGTGGAAGTCTCAAAAGAACAAATCGCAACTGCAGACAATATAAAACTGTTCTTCAACAGTGAACTGAGAAATCGTGAATAATCAATCACCAAAGGAAAGCAAACTGCCAAGAAGAGTATTAAAAAGTGGGTTTTTTTTAAAGGTGAGCTCCTAAACACGATTGTTAAAGTTTATAAAACAGAAAATGGTGTGAAGATAATAGGCTGAAAATTTCTTTCCTCTTTCAAAATAATACTGGAACCCAGGGTCAGCTACTGAAGTTAATTAGCAGAGGAGAGAAGAGAGCAAACAAAAGAAAGGGCTTCTTTATACAACACATAATTAACAGATGGAGTTCACTGCCACAAGATGTAGAGAATGCCAATAGCTTGGGGCCAAAGTTGGTGTTACATGAAAACAAGGTTAAAGATAGCCCAATAGCCACAGTTTGCCTGAACGTTTTTTGAATTCAGAGAAGTTGGGGGAGAAACAATAAAAGAAGCACTTAATTCTTTCCTCACCTGCCATTTTCCTAACTCAAGCCATTGTTTTTTTCAGGCAGTTTCACCCATCAAGTTTTAGCTCATGAAAGTTTAAGCCGAGTGGAAATGGTCACCAGGGTAAGGATTAAAACTTCCTAACTGTCACTTCTAGAAATGGAATTTTCTGGCAAAAGGGCTATGAGATAGCTACAATAGATAAATTTCCTTCTAAAGCATTGGATGTCATACTCGCCGCATCATGTTGCCATCCCATGATGTTTCGCGACATTTTCCCCCTTCGTGGAGCTGGGGTGGACATGGCCTCCATAAGATGCATGTGGGCCGCCAGTTTGACAACCCTGCTGTAATGGGTAGTTGAGCCCATAGAAATCTTAAAAGAGAGTTTATAGAGGAAAATCTCCCTATGATTGTTACATATGATATGAAATGGACTCTCCATGTTCAGGAGCACAGTCATGTTTTCTTCTATCCTGTTTTTTATTCTGTTATTTGAAGTCTTACAGGTCCTGGCTTTGCATGGGATAGTCATGCCCTGACAACTTCTATCTTCCCCCTTGGCCTCAAGACATTAGCCCCAACTGCAACCCATGAGTGAAACAGCCCCAGGTCATCATTAGCCATTCTGGAATGCAGGTAAAATGTTCTTCTTTTCCCATTACTTCTTCAAGGTGGATATAACCGTTCCTTGTCCTTTCATAATTATCACTACAAGTACTGTAGTTTACAAGTTTAATGAAAAATATTCTGCAATACTTTATTCTCAGATGCAACCATCCCACTTTTCCTCACTGCAGGGCACAGAAAATAATCAAAAATGTTGAATGGAGTCTCGCTGCCTGTTTGCCAGTATCCCTGTTTTTGTCACTTTCAGTCACTCCCAAATCCTTACCTTATACACCAATGCACAGAATATGAGGAATAAACAGAGTGAATTAGAAATTCAAGTAAATGAGGGCAGATATGATATTCTTGCCATTACGGACACTTGGTGGGCTGAAACCCACAAATGGAATATACGGCTAGAGGGATTTAAGTTATTTAAAAGAAACAGACCAAATAAAAGAGAAGATGGAGTTGCACTATAAGAAACAACTACATCTCTACAGAAATAGAGCACAGAAACGATGAAAACTGTCTTGAATGCTTTTGGGCCAAAATAAAAGGGGGAAAAATGACATTGCCAAAGGTGTATACTATAGGCCACCCAACCAAGCAGAGGACATAGAGCTTGGGAAGAATTCAATTGATTAGAACCCTTAAGGGGAAAACAACACAAGAAACTTGGGAAACTTTCAAAAGTGAGATTATAAAAGCCCAGTACAATACCAATGAAGAAGAAAAATAACAGCTTTCAAAAGAAACCAGCATATCTGCATAAAAACTCTCTGATAAGTTAAAAGACAAAAAGGACAAGTGGAAAGAGGGACACATAACTGAGGGAGAATATCAGCAAATAGCCCAGCCTGCAAAGATGAAGTGAGAAAAGCTAAAGCTTAAAATTAACTAAGAAGAAATTTCCAGACAATTAGAACAATTAATCAGTGGCACAACTTGCCTCCAGAAGTTGTGAATGCTCCAATGCTGGAAGGTTTTAAGAAGAGATTGGACAACCATTTGTTTGAAATGGTAGAAGGTTTCCTGCCTGAGCAGGGTTTGAACTAGAAGACCTCCAAGGTCCCTTCCAACTTCTATTCTATTCTATTCTATTCTATTCTATTCTATTCTATTCTATTCTATTCTATTCTATTCTATTCTATTCTATTCT